GTGTGTGTGTGTGTGTGTGTGTGTGTGTGTGTGTGTGTGTGTGTGTGTGTATATATATATATATATATATATATATATATATACCAATGCGTGGACTTGTAGAGAAGTACTCGTGGACGTATATTTCACTTTCACCTGCAAATATTTTATATGCATGTATAGTGTTGGAGAAAAAGAATTGTTTTTACTCCACATCATGATGTATAGATACAGAATGTTTCTGAGGCCGGTTTGTACCTGTCTAGTATGTTTTCTTTGCTCCGCATCCACACTGATTTGCGAACTAAGCATGGCAATCACAAACTCGCACGTCGAATATGCTGTATGTATGTTCGGGTAGCCAAACAGTACAGTCGAACTTACCTCTCACGATGCTTCACTACAACACCACCAATCCTATACAGCAATGAGGACTACGAGTACTTCATCGACCTGGCATCGTAAGTTTGTGTTTCTGAGTTATGGGCTATACTATACAACGGGTGTTTTGTTCGTGTGTGGGACAGGTTATTTTAAACGTGCACACATTCACTGCTCAACGCACCCAAACGTACATGTTCCGGCTTTTACTATCACCTACACCCCTGTACCTGCACCCAGTGTATGTGGTAGTTAATCTGTGTTGTATATGCACAATAGGGGTCAGCCTTGGAATTCTCGGTGCCGCTTCATAAATACTCAGTATCAACACTCAATTCCTTCTGTGTGCTGGTTTTGATGCTCATATGTGTATTCCACACTCTATACACGCACACTATAAGCTTATCTGGCTGTCTGCGTATGCACACACATATATGCATGGTATGCATAAGCAGTCCCTACGTGTATGACCAAAATATGCACAACAGAACTTAAATGCGTCTCTCATATGTTGTCCGTCACGTTTTATTGTATAGTGTCGTTGAAAGTGGATAACAGAATAACCGAATATACGCTTTCCTTTGCCGTTTAACCAGCTAACGCTTTCTGTACTGTCAGTGTGTGACCCGGTGACGTTGCGCGTGTGAACTTGCAATTGTACTGGAGTGATACTGAGAGTGATACCCAAAGTGATCAGCTACTATGCTCTCTGACAGGTATTAATTGACCTGATGCCCACACTATGCAGTGTTTCTAGGCGGTCGTATGTCGACGATCTACAAATAATATTGTGGCCGAAACGATTCCAATTAACCAACACTTCATTACCTCACTCGCACATGTCCCTATATCTCCCATATATTCATACAGTATGTGTGGGCTATACCACAAACCATACTAACTATCGAACTCTTCATTACCTCACCCGCACATGTCCTTATATCTCCCATATATTCATACAGTGTGTCTGGGCGCTCTCAGGACGTGGACGATGTACAGGTGCTGCTGTACCAGAGCGACAGTGGCAGTGATAAGACACTATTGTACGATTCCCGTCTACGCTTGCAGCGGCCCAGTGTCCCACCTACGGCCAAAAAATACGTATGACGGAATAAGACAATGTGTGACGGAATAAGACTTTCGTGTGATACTAAGAACTACGTAGAACGTAATGAGAACTATACAGGAAGGAATATGTGTTGTGTATGCCCGTGCGAATGAGTACTGTGTGTAGCAGAATACGGCGAGTGCTTTATCTAACAGAACACCGGCTGGGTGTGTGTGAGAGAATAAGTACTACGGTTGACGGATCGAATGTCTATGTTAAGTCGTGCCTAAATAATCTCTATGTACGACAAGAGAAGTGCACTCTCTGCCAGCCCACAGGCTATGTGTGCGTGTGTGACGGTGTGCTGTTAACATCGTATTGAATAGGCGAATGTGTTGGATGAGAAAGACAAGACATCTGTATCGCGTGTTTGTATATGGGTTCTGTTTTGGTTCGATTGACACCATTTCCGAAACGTCGCGTGGAATGTGTGTAGGAGTACAGTTCGACGGATGTTTGTGCACTTGTGAATCCAGAACACATCTGGCGGTTGATATCCTCTGCATGCATACATTGATTGTTGTTTGCGTATGTCTTTATGGATTTATAGGTGCGGCTATGTGTGTATTTGCACAATCAGAAGCGATTAACTATTACCATATATGACATGTGTGTGTTCGTAGTCGATTGGTGGTTCATGCACGAATTCATTCTCGTCTGTGAGAATTGCTCAGGGGTAGAAAGTGCTATTCTCGGGTGTATATATTGTTATTTTCAGGTATATGCATTGCTATTTTCATATATATATACTGCTAATCTAATT